TAAAAATGTTATTTTTAATCTATCTACAGAAAGACTCCCTAAACTTATACTATGAGGTGGAAGCAGAACCGTAAGTGCGTAAGATAGACTAAAGATCTTAAGTTGTGGTGTTTAAAATTATTGATAATAAAACAACGGCCTTACTTGCAAGGACTGACGTAAAGTCGAATTCTACTTTGCTCTCGTTGCCGACCGCATCGTGGACATCTATCAACATCTACGTGGAAGTGATCCATGGTGTGGATAGTTTGAAATACATTAACTGCCTGAAAGTTTTTTGCTATAATTTTATTTTCATTTGTTCCAGATTCGTTTATTGGTAGAAATAAAGTTTCTATGTTTTCCTAATAAAAGCAAAATTAAGACTGTGTTCTAAGACAAAGAAGCACTCTAAAGTAAAAAATGAAAAATGAGCAGTAAAATACCTGAGCATACAACGCTCTTAATTTAGCAGCAAATAAATCTGCCAACAACTTTTCAGTAATCATAGTTCGGTGTTCCTCTAAAGAGGTTAACGATGAGGTAGCGACCCGTGGAAGGCAGGCATTACGTGTCGCTTTATCAAATTTATGTTTTAAAACCCAATTTAACCAACATAAAGCAACCATAGGAGCTTTTTTATTTACCTGTAAAAAAAAGATATTGGGAAAATTTTGTTTAATGTGTACAAAAAACGGTAAAATAAAGCGGTGTAAGTTTGATACTGGGAAGGTATTTAGATGAGACGTTAGAGCAAAAAAATGAAAATAGCTGTACATTTTCTCGGATATATCTTGCGCAGCGCATTTCTAATCCTTGAGCTCGAAAACGTTTTGAGAGCCTCATAAGTGTTTCGAGCGTATCGTCTTAAAAGGACAGTGAAATAGTTAGTCTCTTTTCAATTTACTGTCGTCAAAATAAGTAAATTTTTTTGGTATTTTTGGTAAAAGATAGATAGACCGACGAACAGATTACTTATATAATTCAAGCTACATACTAAAAATTATACTTTGTAAAATTACTGACCGGTTATGTCCCGTAATACTGGTGCCTGTATAATACTCTCTAAGAACCATTTGAATTGTGTTGCTGGTGGTGGATGAGTAAACGACGAAACGACAATTGAGAATTCATTCAAGGAGCTTTGCATAGCACCTGCTATTGGAATCGATCGGTTGGCCATAAACAATGATCGGAAATATTCACTTACATGGGATAACTGCTGTTTACAAACCAGGAATTTAGTATCCTTAAAACAAGCATTTGTGATTATACAGTTTGTAAATGTAAATAAACAGGTGTTTTTTTTTTTCAACAATAAATGCTGAAAGCAATTCCGCTATACGTTCTATACATTGACATATACGCTTCAACAGCAGAAAAAAAAAGTCATTTTAAAGTAACTCATTGATACCTCGACAAAAATGGTGGCTGAACATCCTTCATGTTGACATTGCGGTGAAAGGTAACTGAACATATTTGAGACCTGGCGAGTTTTTTTTGCTGGAGACCTATAACGTTGACGTTACTATTTTCCAAACTCTTAAACATTTAGGACAAGATAAATTCAGGAAAAATCAAACTAAAGTAATATCAACTACAAAACACAATTTTTCTGCAAAGAATAACATAAATTCTTATTAATGTAAAAGGTCAGCAAATAATTAATCTTCAGACTCAACTAATATTGAAATGTAAAAAAAAACCACTTCTAGGCAGGATTTACAAAGTGCATTTTTTCTCAAGTATTTAAATAGTGCATATTTTGCATGTAGCACACTGCGAAAATTTAAGACTTTATTAGAGATAAGTTCTATGACATATTTTACTTATCACTCTTATTATCTAGTCTCATATTCTTGCTGCTTTTCGCTAAACCCGTAAGTGCTATGGTTACAGCATAAAAGAAGCTGTTATTTAACTTTCACACTGCCTCAATAATTATGTTACTACTACTAAGAAATTTTTGCTTGATATGTTCTTGAAGTTCTTACTTGCTTTAAATTGTGCTACAGCTAAAAAAAATTAGTAAAATTTTTTCTGTTTGAAAAACCTTTAAAATTTAAAATTGCAGTATAAAAAAAATGCAAAACTTTATTTGTATGTTCACCTACGTTTACAAATCTTTTTCGTCTGAATCCCCTTTCTATCAGTTGGTGATGTTAAAAATGGCAAC